CGCATAGGAGGATACAGGATACAGGATGCCCAAGCACCCCCACAAAGTCGCCTCCTCAGATACACAGGTTCCCAACCTGGAGGCTACACGCGGTTTGACAGCCCTTACCAAAGCGCCATTCGAACCTCTCAGGGAAGTCGGAATGAAGTGGCTCCGGATGAAGACGTTATTCCTGGTGGCGATAACCTCAGCACGGCGGGTCTCAGAGCTGGGTGCTCTATCGGTAAAGGCCACGCTCTGCGTCTTCCACGAGGATAAAGTGGTACTTAGGACCGATCCCACCTTTCAGCCAAAGGCTTCTTCCGCTTTTCATCATGCTCAAGAGATCTATTTACCTACTTTCTGTCCAAAGCCACAACATCCCAGAGAAAGGCTATGGCACACCCTTGATGTCAGACGGGCATTAAAGATTTACATCATGCGCACTGAATCTCTACGAAAAACGGACTTCATGTTCATCAACATCTCCTTTCCACATACGGGAAATCGTATGTCCATGACTTCCATCAGCGCAGTCCGTAGGTCATGAATCACGGAGGCCTACAAGGCGTCGGGAATGGAAATTCCCAAAGGGATCACGGCCCATTCCTTGAGAAGTGCGGCAACCAATGCAGCGTTCACAAATCGAGCTTCAGTCAAGGAGTTCTGCAGGGCCGCTACTTGGACGTCGGTATCTACCTTCATTTGTCACTACAAGCTAAACACAATTGCGTCAGCCGACGCAGCATTTGGAAGAAGAGTCCTTCAGCACATTCTCCCTTCGGCTGGCGGTGATAACCCACCCATTTAAGGGATACTGCTTTTGGAGGTCCCATGGAGACGTTCTCCACCTCAGTGGGAGAACGACCTTTGGCACTTACCGTGAAGGGTCCTTCTCCTCTGAGGTTAGGAGGACATCTCGGCCCTCCCGCTTTCATCATCGTTCTTTTGCCTGTGTATCTCTGTGCTGTTCTCTTCTTCTTCTTCTTCTGCGTTCTTGTTCTACTGTTTTATAGTTCTATCATTAATGTTGGAAGTTTACCTGCTTGGCGCAGGGGAGTTAGCCTTAGTTGATACTCACTGCTTACGGAGTCCCAGAACTGAGGGGCAGGGCTATTCCCAAGGCGCCAACAGGAAGGAGAAAAAAGTATTTCCTGTCTCCCTAAAGGAACGATGGGAATAACCCATGGAGATGTCCTCCTAACCTCAGAGGAGAAGGACCCTTCACGGTAAGTGCCAAAGGTCGTTCTTCCATCTTGTCATAACGTTTGTCGTTTTGCTCACATTTATTAAACGGTCTTCTCGTATATCCTTGTGGTCCCAGCAAATTGGGCCAAGGAATGAGGCAATAAGAGCGTTGAAGGGGTGGAAGGGAATGAGTCATGGATGGCAGAAACTCCGATCATTCCTTTGCATATACGACTCAGTGGAAACAGAGAGCTGGCGGCCCAGCGTCCTGGCATCTCGTTCTGTTGAATGTGTAAAAATCCAGCCCGATCTGGCAAATAAGGCGTTGAGGATGTATGCACACCATCTTGAAGCCTACCAGTGAGAGAAGGTGTGGGCCGGCAGTTTAGCTTTCTGGGAAAGTTCCTGGTAGGCTGCCCTCCCGGAGGCCTCCTGGTGGCCCAGAGCCGTCTGCGCCTATTGGCCGATGAGCCTATACCTGTTGCCATTGTTGCCATGGCTGAGGTTTGCACCAAGCGATGCTGCTGGCGACACGGAGGATTGGGATCCGTTTGCTCCAGGGCTCTTCTGCCATCCCAGTGCACCTGGCAACAGCCAAAGGTAATCAAATGGCAGCATCTCAGAAAACCTGCATGGTGCATAAGTGGGGCAGAGGAGACGTAAGAAGGGCCGACTGTCCCGTACAGCATCACTGGCGTGTTTTGCAACTCGCTGGAGTCAACAGCCTTGCTCAATCCTGTGCATTAAAATAAAAGTTTTAAAAAGGAATAAGGACAGTACAGCAGGCTTGGCAGCCATAGGAAATCTGAGCGATATAAAATGGGTGTGAGGAAAGCTGTGTTGTGCAGAACTCAGGGAGAAATAAAATGATAATTTGGTTCAGATGGGAATTTGCAAACGTCTTGGATGAACTGCTGAGGATGCTGTTTAGGGGTGCATGTTAGCAAACGCGTCATTTCTCAAGCAGGCATCCATTTTTACTTCTGTGTATTAATTTGTATTGTTTAATGTTGAATTCGTTATAAGCCTTCCTTTTGGCTTTGAGGTGGGTCAGTCTCCAATCTTTTTGAGCCTGCGAGTGCATTTGGAGTTCGGACATGGCATGGTGGGCGCAACAACAGAACAGCTGCCACAGGAGGCAGACCCAGCTCCAAAAAGATTGCCTCAGCTTAACTTCAGTGACACAGTGCAGATTGTTGTGATGTGGTGGCAGCTGCCGCCAAAGCAACATTAAAAAAAACAACAACTTAGCACAGCCAATCAGATCTCCCAATAGGCAGGCAGAAGCTTCCTGAACAGGGCCGGCTCACCCACTAGGCGAACTAGGTATTTGCCTAGAGCGCCAGGCTCTGGATGGGGCGCCTGGGCCAGCTCGAGCTCCCGCGGCCTCAGGCTCCATTTCCGTGCTGCCTCTTGTGTGGCATCTCTCCCCCTCCCCCGGACTGAGCCAGATGATGTCTGACCCCACCTCACCGCCGCCACGTGTCTTTCTGTGGACACCAGTGCAGGCCAGCAGGCCGGGGCTGGCCGCGATCTCCATCGCTCTCCGTAGTCGCTCGCCTCCTCGCCCCCCCTTCCACAGTCTGATTCTTGGCTGGGTCTCCTGGCCCCGCTGCCGCCACTGTCCATGCAGGCCTCTCCAATTGACTCTGCTGGCGGTGCAGCACGCTTGCTCGCTGGTGGCAGTGGCAAAAGGGCAGTTGGCTCCAGAGGTCTCCAGGCCCCACCGAGAGGTTGGCATCTGCGCTGCAAGAGTACAGAAACACCTCGAGCCGGCCCTGTTCCTGAAAATACTTGGCGGGCAGTGGAAACGGTGTCAGCTGCTGCCTGGGTGCCCATTGACACCGTGTTGGGGACCCCAGTATATAATTTTAAAAGTAGGCACTGGTGAAGGATTGTTTTCTTCCTTTAGACTCCTCAGAAGAGAGCTAACCTTTCCTTTCTCTCCCCCCCCCCCCCCCCCCCTTTCCTTTCTGGTTCTGTGAGGCTTCAAGAATTTCAGGAGCACTTCCATTCTTACTAGCAGAGGCATTGTGCGGTAGCTGGTGTCTTTAGCCTTTCATGAATTAGGTCAGTTGTGAAGTTATTAAGGCAGTGAAAAATATTTTTGGAATCAGAAGCTTGTACTCCACTGATAAGTGCCAGGCACCGGCAGTTCGCAATTCCTCAGTTCAGTCGTGTTTATCCTACAGCAGTGCAGACTCTATCCCAAAACCTGACTGCTGTTCTGTTGCTGATGCTTTTCTATGGTGTGGATCTTATCCGTAGCCACGTTAAAAAAAGGAGCTTAAGATTCAGAGTAGCTCCCATTTGGGCCTCAGGCAGCCGACAGGTAACTTCAGGCTCCTGTTCTAAGAATTCCAGCCTCTGGCTCTTTAAAAAAGAAAAGAAACAAAATGCCTAGCTTTCTGGGTGACAAGTAACCGAGCCAAGTACAAAATCCAAATGTTCTAATTCTTGTGATTTCAGAGGTGTTTCCCCCTCACATCCATGAACAGCAGTTGTAGAATAAATACGCATCCACTAACAAGACTATAATTTAGCACCTGTTTTGTTTGTTGAAATTAAATATAAATTCTGATCACAGTGTGCAGGTAAAAATGTAAATAGCACATTATCTCAGACTGTATTTGTAACGTTGACTCTTTAGCCTGAATCTTTTGCCCTAGGATCCATTCTGTAATTCTCAAATGGTCCTGTTCTGTTTAATTTTTTTCAACACTTCCATCATGCCCTTTCTTCAAGGAACAAAAACCTACACTCATATTTCCTCAGAATAAGGTTTGTGTCCAGTGGCACTTTTAAGACCAACAGCAGAGGTCATTTCGGGGGGGATTGCGGGGAATCGCAGTTCCCCCGGGTGAGGTACGGGGGGCGTGGCACATGACGAAGCCCCGCCCCCTGCTTCCGACCACCCCGCTTCCGGCCCTCATTCAGCCAGGAGGAGGCAGGTGAAGAGGGAGGGTAAGTTGCTTCCTCCCTGCCTCTCCCCACCCCTGCCTGCCTGGGGCCACGGAGGGCCTTCGCGGGGCTTCCTCGCACTCCCGCCGGCCTTGCAGGTCCACCGCCGGGCCCCTCATGGGGCTCGGCAGTGGAGCTGCAAGGCTGGCGGCGGTGGCCGGGACCGTTGGGAGCGGGGTGTGTGGCCTTATGACACACTTCCAGTGATGTCAGGGGGTGTGGCCTTATGACACACTTCCGGTGATGTCAGGGGGTGTGGCATATGCTAATGGGTTATGCTAATGAGTTCCCGTAGCTCTTTTTCTACGAAACGACCCCTGACCAACAGAGTTTTATTCAAGATATCAGCTTTCGTGTGCAAGCACACTTCTTCAGATACAGTGAAACAGGATTTCCTGTATCCTGAAGGATTGTGCTTGCACGCGAGAGCTTTTACCCAGAATACCACTTCGTCCGTCTTAAAGGTGGACTCAAACTTTGTTCTGCTGCTTCAGACCAACATGGCTACCCACCTGAATCTATATTCATGTTTCCTGTTTGACTTGAGGTTGGCTGTGTGTGTGTGCTAATATGCGATAGTAGAGTTTTGAGCCTCAAATGGAGAAGACCCGAATTCAAATCCATGCAGTTATGAAGCTTGCTGGTGCCATTCTCCATCTCTCAGCATACTTGAGAGGGAAAAAGGGGGGGGGAGTTTCCATGTGTATTACCTTGCCCTCCTTGAAGGAAAGGTGACTGACAAAAACCCTGTGATGCACCTTTGACTGAGAGATGCCAATAACAACGTCTCTCCAAGTCTGCCACACACACATATATAGTTAATGTATTTAATAATTGGATAGCACTAATTTCACCTTGCCTTTCTCCTCTAGGTAGTGTTGCACTGGTATTCCATCAGCTCTAATACCAAGTGACATAACCAGTCAGTTACAACTGTCAGAATCCCATCTGCACCACCACTTGGAAAGCAAGGACAGATCCATGATTCTAAAGGTCAGTTGGGGAAATACATTTTGCAGCAATCCAGGTAGTTTCTCTTCTCTACATTCTTCCCTCTGAAAGCGCAACGTTGTTTTTTCCGATCACACCATTACAACAGGAGAGTATTGGCTTTGGAATATTGACTCATCTGGTTGATTGTATAAATTCAGTATGGGCAGGGTATACTTTTTGTGTTCAGCCTTTTTTGCTTTTTGCATATAGTTCTGGAGCTAATGGGTTGGATGCAGCTGAAAAATTTTGCTGTCGAAAGAGGGGAGATTTTTGTTGGAACCCCCCCCTTCCCCCCCTTCCTGGGGCAGACCATGGACCCCCCCTGCCCCCATGCTGCTACTGAGCAGTCCCCTGTTCCTAAGGTGCCGCACTGCAGGGGGCATTTTGAGCTGCAGCAGGACAGAGAGGCGGGGAAGAATTGGTGGAGATTTTGTGCAGGATCCAACCCAACGAGTGTTGTAAAGCCTTTGGTATACTATTGCGGCCAGTTGAATCCTTTTTTCACTGTACAGCTGTTTTGTTCTGTGGCTTCTCTTTCCACCTGTGGTTGGGTAAAAGGTTAAGCCACCAGGAAGGCTGTCTTGGTTGGTGATCTGTCTCTGAGCAGTGGCACACATGACTCTTTGTTCTGAAACTCCTTCTTTGAGAGGACAACACGGCAGCCCCTGGGTCACCTGCACAGGACATTGGGGTCACATAAGGTTGTTTTTTTATTGGCTGAGAACAGCATACAGTGGTCAGCTGTGAGGCTAATCTAGAAGTATGTGGGAAGAAGCGGCACAGGTGTCCTTGAATGACACGGAGGGAGGAAATTGACATTTTCCAGGAACAAGAGTCACTTGACTGGTGTCTGCACTGTGCTCTCTTGCTTCTGAGATCTGACAAGGTGCTGCCCTGGACTATTCTAGTAGCTTTCTCCCCTCCCACGTTAACAAGATGCTGGATTATGTGTTGAGTACTACATTCTGAACTTGGAGGGAATCGCAGAGTACAAACTACCTTGTCATCTTGGGTAAACCTGTTTTTGTATATTCTCAGTAATCTGAACAGTAACTAACTAACCTCATCACCTGGAAGCCTTTCCCTGGAACTGCTTGGTTGCAACAAGGGAGTGGTGGGTCTGGTTTCTGTGACTGTGCTAGCCCTGTAAGCTACACAGGGTACCATGCAGCATCCTGTGGCTGACTCACATCCCCTTGCTCCCAGCTGTCTTTCCAGGTCCTTGCTGAGGTACATGTGCTTGCTGAGGTACATGTGCTTCTGTCATCATCACAATCCTTACATGCTCTCGGGTGGTAGGCCACTTTTTGTAAATACATGTTCTTGGATTTAAGTAACACTGTTTTGGAGGTGAACTGAGGTCCTTATCTACACGGGCAGTACAACGAGGTAGTACTTCAGACTACAGATGATTTTAAAAAATTGCTCTACATTAACTTGAAAACTGGCACAACATGAGATGAACTAGGCTACAGCTTTTCTCTCTTATCTTCTTTTTTCAAAATTACATTTGTTTTTTTACATGGGCAAGTGTTAAACATGAGTCCCCCCCCACCCTAGCCCGTTCCATCCTCTCAGAATTCTACCCGCCCCCCCACAGCTGTATGTGTGGAGCATCTACTTGGCATGCTGATGGTCTGAGCCAGTTTGGTGTAGTGGTTAAGAGTGTGGACTCTAATCTGGGAGAACTGGGTTTGTGTCCCCACTCCTCCACATGCAGCTGCTGGTGTGACCTTCGGTCAGTCATAAGTTCTTTCAGAGCTGTTCTCTCAAGGGCAGTTCTCGAGAGAACTCTCTCAGCCCCACCTACCTCACAGGGTGTGCATTGTGGGTAGGGGAAAGGAAAGGAGATTGTAAGCTACTCTGAGACTCCTTCGGGTAGTGAAGGGTGGGGTATAAATTGAATCTCTCCTCCATCATCCGTGGCATCTCCAGCCAAAAGGGTCAGGTGGTAGATTGGTGTGAAAGACCTCTACCTGAGGCCCAGGAGAATTGCTGCCAATCTCAGTAGACAGTACTGACCTTGATGGACCAAGGGTCTGATTCAGTATTTGGCAGTTCAATTTTTGTTCAAGTATGTGTGGATCAAGCCTTAATGGCTGATAGGATTTAAAGTAAGTCTTGGTGATTCTGAGTGACATGAGTAGCCTGATCCTTTGTACCTGCTTGTTTGGAAGTAAACCCCGCTTTGTAAAATTGAATTTACCTCTAAGTAAGCATTCATAGAGGAGCTACGGTGGCTCAAGAGGTTAAGACGCTGAACTGCAGGCTGTGGAAGGTCGGTATTTCAGCAGTTCGAGACCCGAGTGTGCCGCATGACAGAGTGAGCTCCCGTCTCTAGTTCCAGCTCCTGCCAACCTAGCAGTTCGAAAGCAAGAAATTGCTTTGAAACAGAGATGAGCACCGCAACCCTAGAGTCGGACTCGACTGGCTTTCGAGCAAGGGAACCTTTACCTTTACCTTTTTTTTTTACTCCTTTCACACCTTCAAGGGAATATTCTGCCACTTAAAATGTAGATGGAAGGGCTAATAACGTGTGTGTGTGGGGGAGAGACCTCTGCTTTTATGGCCATATTCTCATGAAATGCTTCCCTGAGGAAACTGACCTTTGCTCCCAAGGAGTGAGTTCCCAGGACATTTTGGGCACTTCCAAAGAAAGCTACTGCAACGAAAGAGCCCATTACACTAGAGGAAAATGGACCCATTCAGATTAAGGCTAAAAGCATTATCGGAGGGTTAAGGTTCAAAGGAGAGCTCCATTTTGATCCTGCCCCTTGAAAGACAAGGCAGGCAAGAGTTACAGGATTTGCGATCTTCTGCAGACATAAACAGGCTACCAGAAGTTGTCTGCAGCGAGAGGGAAAGCAGGCTTTTGACAAAGGCCAGCCCTGAAGCGATACCACAATAGTCAGCCAAGCGCCCAAAATGATGAGAGGAGTTTAAACGCAAAGCAAGGAAACCCAACCAAAGCAAAAGATTGTTGCTTCCCAGTCTCAACAGGAAGACATTTGCTAGATCAGCTTCCTCCTTTGGGATAAAAAAACCCCAGCCCCACACACAACTGTGCCATGCAATGTTCACTCACAACGCTTCTCCAAATCTTTTTTTTTTAAAAAAAACAAGAATTGTAAACTGATGCTTATTTCCCTGCAGGAGTGTGAAAGGAAAAGGAAGAGCCTCCACGTGTTCTGTTTCCTTTTTCCTTCCTCTTTCCACTCTCACCGCCCCCGTCTAAAATGCCTGCTGCTGCTGACTTTGTTTGTGTTGACACCCTAGAAGGCAACAGGAAAAACATTCAAACCTTGCAGACGAGTCCCATTAGCCAGAGCCACCTTGATGAAAATTCAGACTGCACTCTCATTTGTTTGGCCGCTGGGTTCTTAAAGATCCCACTTTGGAACAGGTAGGAAGGGGGGGGGGGGAACCACACAGTATCTATAGTGCAGGCAAAGAGCAAGGAGAGCTCCAGAGCTCCCGAACACAGCAACCCATTGTTCTTCCTCTAACTCTCCCTCCCCTTTTGTGCAGCAATGGTGTTGAGAAGCACCGACTCTTCCCTAATTAGGCCAGAGGAAAGAGATTTAACACTTTCATTAGAAGCCTGTCTGTTGGGTACATCAAATGCAGGGCCCAGTCTCCCGCTTAAGGAGCAATGACTTTAGAGTGAAACACTGCAAGCAAACAGGGAACGCTGAAGGTGCAGGAGGCACTGTTACTTCCCGCACTTCAGTCGTCGTAGTAGGTCAACTGTGAGCCCTCTTATGTCATTTCAGCTTGGAGATTTCACTGCACACAAACTCATGTAAGGGTTTTTGTTTGTTTTCTATATGCTCCCTTGTAGTAATCTGGGCTTCCTCTAAAGCTGTAGTCCTATGAATGCTTAAAGGTAAAGGTTCTCTTGCTTGAAAGCCAGTCGAATCTGACTCTAGGGTTGCGGTGCTCATCTCCATTTCAAAGCCGAAGAGCCAGCGCTGTCCGAAGACGTTTCTGTGGTCATGTGGCCGGCATGACTAAACACCAAGACGCACGGAACGCTGTTACCTTCCTACCAAAGTGGTACCTATTTATCTACTTGCAATTTCTTGCTTTCGAACTGCTAGGTTGGCAGGAGCTGGAACTAGAGACGGGAGCTCACTCCGTCATGCGGCAACTCGGGTCTCGAACTGCTGAACTACCGACCTTCCACAGCCTGCAGTTCAGTGTCTTAACCACTTGAGCCACCGCAGCTCCTGTGAAAGGAGTAGTTCAACATTAAAAAAATCCTGCACATATGGTCTCAAGTTTCTAGAAGGTGCTTGGGCACCGCATTCTTTGGAGAGTAAACCTTGAATACTGTGTGCCCTTGGACTATATCATGGTTTTTAAAATCAAGTTTTACAAACTTATGCTTATGAAAATACATAGGCAGTGTCTGCATAAATGTCTATACAAGAATTTGTCCATAGGGTCGATTTTGTTCCTTTTTTCATTGGCATCATCCTACCAGTTAGTAAGAGCACAAGAGAAGCCATGTTGGACCAGGCCAATGGCCTATCCAGTCCAACAGTCTGAGTTACACAGTGGCCAAAACCCAAGTGCCATTAGGAGGTCCACCAGCAGGGCCAGAATTCCAGAAGCCCTCCCACTTTTGGCCCCCAAGCACCAAGAATACAGAGCATCACTGCCCCCAGAGTGTTCCTATGTATATCTTGTGGCCAATAGCCACTGATGGACCTCTGCTCCATATGTTTATCCAATCCTCCCTTGAAGCTATCTATGCTTGTAGCTGCCACCACTTCTTGTGGCAGTGAATTCTGCATGTTAATTACTCTTTGGGTGAAGAAGTACTTCCTTTTATTCTAAGCTCACTAATTTCATTGAGTGCTCATGAGTTCTTGTATTGTGAGAAAGGGAGAAAAGTACTTCTTTTTCTACCTTCTCTGTCCCGTGCATAATTTTGTAAACCTTTATCGTGTCACTCTTCAGTTGTCATTTTTCCAAGCTAAAGAGCCCTAACTTCT